GGTTTTTTGTTTTAATTCCTTACGACTATATGATATAATAACAATTCCTAGCACTTCCAGGCCATCAAATAAACCTACACTACTCAGCATTGCTTATCAGGGTGCCCTAAACATTCTTCACATGTTTCTTAAATGTGTGACAGAGTAAACCTGAGTGCACCATCTAACGAAAAAACTCGTCAAATATGTAGGTAATGGTCATATGTACCCATCCAATCAACTGGACACTCAAAAATTTGGTCAAAAACGGCAGTAAGGGGTCCATATTTACTCCGTCACATGTTTATAGTGTGACAATGTAACCATTTCCGTGCCGGCCGTATTTAGGCGATATCTTATCAGCTGATTAAGATATCGTTAAGTGACAAAGTTAGCCTAGAGGATGAGACGATTATCCTAACCATCAAGGGTTTGTGTAATTTCATAGTGTGACAAAGTCAACTACACTGTGCCTTTTAATAGGGTCACTTATATTTACCAATATCCTCAAACTCAAATGAACGTGTCCATATAGCTAGCCTGTCAATGAATGCGCGGCGCGACTGTATTTTAATGTATAATATGTAGTGTATATACTATATAGTATTAGGTAATAAGCCCAATTTATGTAGGTGGCATGCGTAGTATAGTGTACTGATGTGTATCAATATTATTATTATGAAGTGAGCTGATTGGATTATATTTATAGTTATAGTGAATGGAAATCTAGCGTCCGCCAAAACGAAACAACGGGCGCAATTCTTGTTGTTAATGAAAGAGAGGAATGTGCTATGAAGTTAGGGGTGTTGAATTACCGAGAGGAAGGTATGAGGAGTGATAAGATCTGGGCAGTAAGACTGTAGGGGGAGAGGAGGGCGGGGAGTGGTAGAGTGAAAAAGTGTCACACCCACAGGACCCATCCCTCCTCACGGCGGTATCACAGTGCGCACAGAACACAGCTGGTGTGTATGATGCCACCTGACGGTAGGGCTGACTGTCACGTGGTCCTCTGTAACGGCTGTGGGGCTCTCTTAGAGGGACTGGATTGTAGAGTGCTTCACTTTGATCGCTAAACTGGCGTTCTCTGGCATGGCTTTGTCGCGGTTGAATGTAAACTGGTTCAAGATGGCTGTAGATGGGTTCATTAAAAGAATGTATGGACGGTTCCCTGTGGACGCTGCGCGGAAGAGCGTGTCTCCTTGTGTAACGTTCACAATGGTGATGATGCTGGAAGGAGACTGGATGATGCTGGGAGGAGACTGGATGATCTAGGTTCTCCTGACAGGAACATGGACCATCAGGTATCAGGTGTGGTGGACCCTGTTGATGTGGTACAGCCCCTCCGCTCATCCACTCGTCAATACACAACTCTTCCGTAGTACGATACATAACGTGTAACAACTATGAACTAATATTACTGCTGCTTTCAGTATTCTCACTTTATATAAGTAGAACCAGTGTAGGAACATTGATGCACAATTCACATTACACTGCAGTTTGATCGTTTAACACTCGTAAATTGAAAGGACCTGCCTCAAGAGCGGATGAAAAACATAGTTAGACATTCTGGCTATAGCCACTCTGGTAATATCATGGTTTCACTAGACTAGAACGAAATCAAGCAGCCTATTACCCCCTGGTAGTAGCCAGGCTGGTAGCCCGTACTATTACCAGTATAGAATGTAATTGTAAATATGTCTTCAACTTTTTACCATAGGGCTGTCACGATACTTTTTGTGATCGAATGTACATTGAGAGAAGTCTCCAATCTCAAGTTATGAAGGAATATTTGATCCATGTACACAAACCTGTTCCAAAAGAGGGGAAGGGAAAATGTAAAATGATGATTCTTGGATGTCATCCGTCATGTGTGTGTCTTAATAAATCAACTCTGACGGCTGTTGATTGGGAGCTATATATCTGTTTTGCCATACAAGAGGGTTTCACATGATAATTCGAACTGTTATAGTGAGAACAATGACTGCAGTGTAAACTGTAAAGACTTCAGACTTGGTGTAAACTATTGATGTCATTCGATCAGAATTGAACTGCGCGCGCGCGCCATCCTTGCATGAATTGGTTATGAATCTTATCGTACTCGCTGATAAAAAGTTGTGCATAGTACATAATAAACTTCGCCGCGGCCTGAACACGGTCACAGACTACTGTCAGCTTATGATTTAATCGGCGAACCTGGAATACTATGTTATTATATTACACTCATGAGATTATCGGTGACAAATTTGTGAAACACGAAAGCTTATCATTCTTACATTACAAAGCTTATCATTCTTACATTACATTCATCTAGCTTGAATATTGTACAGGAATATAAGTATTAACGAAAATGAGTTAATTTCTTGAGAAACGAAATGTTAGTTCATATCACAAGAGATTACATGACTCATGAAAATATTTGTCGCTGTTTCATTATCTATTTGATTACAGTTTGGCAGTTTGCCAATAAATATCCGTTCGGTATAACTCATTTAAGTGGAACATCTCCATCACAGAGGAACGCGTTATTGCACATAAGACGGCTACACAAGTATAGAGGAAAACAAAATTTAAATCACTGTAAAGTATCAAAGACTTACCAATTGACTCCCCAGCACCAACAGCAGTGATGGCATTCTGAGTGAGCTTCTGCTCGGCAGCCTGCTGGGTGACAGCCATGTGGCTGACCTCCATGTCCTCTAAAGTCGGGTACAGAGACATATTCGCTAGAAAAGATTAGAAAGAGTTATGTTTCAGTTTAAATAGTGGATTTAAATTCAATGAGAAGAAAAACGTTAGTTTTAAACACATGTGTGAGCAGAGTGTCAAGATTTATGCAAATTACTGTCTACACACTGTCTACAATATCAAGTCACTGGCATGTAACACTGTGCATGTTTCAAGATATGATATGTGTGTGAGAAGCCTGCAACGTCAGTAATCAAGATGGAAGGTTTAATGTAACTAGATCAAAACTTTGGGTAAGTTATATAGACATAATTAAGATACAAAAGTGTGAAACTTTTAGTTGGGCAATAACATCGTTTACTTTGTTACGCTTATGAAAATTAAGACAAATAAAGATAAACAGTAAACACGTACATAGATAAACAGTAAACACGTACAAACATCAAGACAAGTGCCGTACTAGGATCATATCTCGAATTCGGACAACAGTCGTTTTTTCGTTCACTTGATTCGGACAAGAATCGGACAAAAGTCGTGTTACCCAATACATTAATCTGAATGCTCGTTTTGTGATGGACAAGCGGACGCCTCAAGAAAAAGAAGATCAATAGACAAAAGTGACAAATATCCAGGATTACCGTTTGACCCATTCAGGCCAATACAATGGTATAATCTATTTGGGTATAATCTATCTGAGTACCATGTGTTTGTACAATAGACTTGGCACATTTTCAATATCATCTCACAGTCTATGATCATTCATCATTAGGCAGGTGTATATTATATATATATATAATGTAGGAATGCTATTCACATCGCCCATATCTAGTGGCAGTATACTGATCGTGGCTACTTTAAAGATTCAAATTAAAGGCATTTATTCGATGCTAATTAACAGAAGGCTACTAGACGTATTGAAATGTTTACATTGGTTCACCCATTACAAGTGATTAACATGTGATTAACTGATTAAAATTGTTAATTACCATGTTGGGTACTTAACTACGATAACTTACAAAACGATTATCACATTACACTAAATACACACGGTACAGACTACAGACACTAATTCTACTCAATTCTGAACACCTGAATAACCACTACAGATTACAACTACTACAACAGATTAAACTACATTACCGCTAAAGAACTTAGAACAACACAACAAATTGTGTGTAGGTAAAGCTTACTAACGAGCCGAAAACAAAACCAGAGTAAAAATAGAACCACTGTCATGCGTCACTAAACAGTACACGAATTGATACAGCGCTAAGTGTGTGTGGAATGAAGCGTCAGAATTGAAAATGAAGCAGTATAGCAGCTCAGACAATTCTACATAAACACTCAGTCACGAGATGTGGTGTCTTATTACGCTTCTATTCTGTTCTAATATAACGTCACCCTTACATCATTGACCTCTCATTGCATCACACGGTAGTTTGGGTAATAGAGTATCAGACTTTTCACGTCATATAAGTGAATTTTCTAGAATTATGTGGAATGAACGCTATGTAGACAGTAAAGGTATCCCAAAATTCATAAGACAAAGTAAAAACGAAGGTAGATTTTTTCACAAATTCAAAGTTTGGTGTAATCATAAAAAGTTTAATAACATTACTATCTAGTACAATAGTACTACCTAATACAATAGTTATATAATATAGTTATATAAAAGTAAAAAATATTCATTTTAAAGCTTCTTTTTTTATACATTCTAATACAATAATTTGTTTATACATTCTAATACAATAATCATAGCATCATCCTATCAATAATCCTAGCAATTATCCTAACATCATATTACTACAGTAATCCTAGATTGAGTTTCCACATACTATCTACAGTAACTCAGATCTTAACATGATTTTTGGATAAGATTTCACAACTTTTTCGTTATCTTTAATTTTCATAATTTCCATTTCAGCGGCCAGGTAGCGCAGTTGGTTAGAACGCCTGTCTTACAATCGTTAGGTTGCGAGTTCGAAACCCACTGACTGCCTGGTCGTGGGGTGAGCGTCGTCGACGTTCAGCTAAGGATCATGAGTGGTCTATGCAGCCCCCCGGTCTACTCAGCCGAATACTCGAGAAATCGGGTGTGAGGGTTAAATGAGGAGCTGCACATTGCAGCAAAGTCTCGGACGAAGAAAGTATGGTACACACTACCTTAACCGTCACTGGCCAAAAAGATCCTTCGGCTTCCTGTAATTGGCTGGTTGCACTTGTGTAACATTGTGGCTGTTGGAATACACCGAAGTAAAATAAGTGTCTAGATAAAAAAAAATAATAATTTTGTTTGATCAAACTTTCTTAGACAAACTGAAACTATTTTGATTCAATAATTAGTAAACTGAAGTTTTTGGAATCACTTTTACGTACTGAATATATGAACCTGAATTCCAAATTTTTACAAAATCTGAAGAATGAAGATGGAACAGCTGGCATACATTTGCCATCCTATAGCTGTTTTTTATTCAAGTTGAATTCGTAGTTTTGTGGTTCGTTTTAAGATCTGGTTACTTCATATGTTAAATATCGAACAGCTAAAAAACTTTAGAATACAAACTTCAACTCTCGCAAAAACTTGAAAAGGACCTTGTTACTTCATATTATGATACATATCGAACAGCTAAAAAAAACTTGAGAATACAAACTTCAACTTTCACAAAAACATTAAAAAGATTACAACATGCAAAAAATACTATTTTCTAAGCTAATTACGTAAACATAATTATACAATTTTTTCGTATGTTAAATCAAAAAATCATAAGATAAATATCCAAACAAATTCCTAAGTTTCCTAAGCTAAGTTATCCCACCCAATTTCTGGACCTCTGCACAGCATCCTTCCACTTGGCTAACTTCTGCTCCCTTTCCTTGTCTCCCATGTCAGGATTGTAAGTGAGTGCCTCTCCAGGCAGCTTTTCAACATTCCAAATTCCTAGTGCCATTGCAGCAGCCATTCCTGCACCCATAGCTGTTGCTTCTGCAGATTCTGCACGGCATTCCACAGAAATCCCAAGAATGTCAGCTTGCATTCCCAAGAACTGCTTATTCTTTGTCATACCACCATCAGTTCTCAGGCACTGAAGTTTGATGCCACTATCTGCGTCCATGGACTCAAGAATTTCACACACCTGGAAGCACACAGCCTCAAGAGCAGCCCTGGCAATGTGAGCATTATTAGTGTAGGCAGTAATTCCAATAATGAGGCCTCTAGCAGTGGGGTCCCAGTAAGGAGCATAGAGACCACTGAAAGCAGGTACAAAGTAGAGGTCATGTGTACTGTCAACAGTTCCACTGAGTTGCTCCACCTCGCTGCTGCTGGAGATGATCTTCAAGTTATCCCTCAGCCACCGCACTACTTCTCCCCCAATAGCTACAGCTCCTTCCAAGGCATATATTGCTGGACCAGAACCAACCTTGTATGCAACGGTGGTTAAGAGTCCGTGCTGGGACTGGACAATGTCAGTGCCAGTATTGGACAGCATAAAACACCCAGTCCCATAGGTACACTTAGCCTCGCCTCGCTGGAAGCAATGCTGTCCAAAGAGTGCAGCCTGTTGGTCACCCAGACAGCCTGCAATAGGTTTCCCTTTCATCGCACCGTGCCTGATGTGCCCGTATATCTCTGCACTGCTGCAGATCTTAGGCAACATCTTTTTATTTACACCGAAGAACTGACACATGCTTTCATCCCAATCTAACGTCTCGAGGTTCATCAACATGGTCCTGGAAGCATTTGTTACGTCAGTCACATGAATTCCTTGTTCTCCT